GGGATTCCTGGTATCACCCGCTTCTTCGATGATGTGTTGATTGCTGGGCCCACACCAGAGGAGTTTGAGGACCGCCTCTGCACCGTTCTGCACCGTTTCCAGATGGCGGGTCTCACCGTTTCCAGATGGTGGACGCAGAAGGGGTCCACCTGACTGGGGACAAGGTACGGGCCATTTGTGATGCCCCAGCGCCCAAGAGCAAGACTGAACTTCAGGCCTTCTTGGGACTATTGAACTTTTACCATTCCTTCCTTCCCCACAAGGCGGCGGTAGCGGAGCCCCTACACAGACTCCTGGACAAGCAGACCCCTTGGGTGTGGGGCCAGCGCCAGGAGGCCGCATTCCAGGCAGTCACAGACTTGCTTGTCTCAAACTCGGTCTTGGCACACTTCGACGAGAGGCTGCCGGTGGTGCTAGCATGCGACGCCTCGCCCTATGGCATCGGCGTTGTCCTGGGACACCAACTCCTGGATGGAAGAGAGGTACCGGTGGCATACTTTTCCCAGACACTCAACACAACCGAGCGGAACTACTCGCAAATCGACAAGAAGGGTCTGGCAATCGTGAAGGGAGTAAAAAAATTCCATGATTTATTGTACGGGCGGCCCTTTACCGTGGTGACTGACCACAAGCCATTGCTTGGCTTGTTTGCCCCCGAAAAGCAGACCCCCCAAGTGCTGTCTCCTCGTGTCCTCAGGTGGTCAATTTTCCTTGCCAGTATGCACTGATTTACCGCCCTGGGAAGGCGATGGGCCATGCGGGCGCACTCAGCAGGCTACCACTACCGGAAACAGGCCCCAACCCAGCACCTGCACAAGAGGTTATGAGCCTGGAGCTGCTTCCTGACCGCCCCATTCAGGCACAAGAAGTTGAACACCATTCCAAGAAAGATAGGGTCATCTCCCGGGTCCTGGACTGGTGTGGAGGGGATGGCCCAGCAGCAGCCCCGGGCCAGAATTCGCCAGCTACACAACCCACAAACATGAACTGTCAGCCCACAAGGGGTGCCTGTTATGGGGAAGCAGGGTCGTTGTTCCCCAGCCCCACCGCAAAAGAGTCCTCACAGCCCTACACGACACACGCCCGGGGTAGTGAGAATGAAGGCCCTTGCCAGGAGTTATGTGTGGTGGCCGGGGATCGACAGAGAGATAGAGGCCTGGGTCAAACACTGCCAGGCCTGCCAAGAATCCCGCCCAGATCCCCCAAGGGCCCCAGTCCAGTCCTGGGAGTCCGCCCGAGTACCATGGTCACGCCTGCATGTGGACTTCACTGGCCCCTTTCAGGGGAAAACATTCTTCATAGTGGTGGACTCATACACCAAATGGCTGGAAGTCACACTGGTACCGTACACTTCCACGTCTGCAGCCATCCGGGTACTACGCAGGCTGTTTGCAACCCACGGGCTCCCTGACACTCTCGTCTCAGACAACGGGACCGCATTTACGTCAGGAGAATTCCAAACCTTCACAGCGCAGAACGCCATCCGCCACATCCGTTCAGTGCCATTCCACCCTGCCACCAATGGCCAAGCAGAACGCATGGTGCAGACCACCAAGGACACCCTCCGCCGCATGACGCAAGGGGATTGGGAGTACCGCCTTGCCATATTCCTTATAGCACAGCACAGCACAGCACCCCCAGCTCAACAACTGGCCGGAGCCCCGCTGAACTACTAATGGGTCGGCGCCTTGCAATCAGATTGGACCGCCTTCACCTCGATAGAGCTCAGGATGAGATAGTGGTGGGGGAAGGCAGGAACTCCCGGACCTTTGTGGCCCAGGACCCAGTGTACGCAAAGAACTTTGGGGCAGGCCCAGCATGGGTATCCGCCACAGTCACCAGGGTCACTGGCCCCGTGTCGTACGAGGTGCTAATGGATGGGGGGCAATGCTGGCGCTGCTACTGCGACCAGATACGGCGACGATACCCGGGAGAAAACCAGGAGGAGGACAGGTCAGAGGAGTCCCAAGGGAACAGTGGGGCAGTGAGACCCACAGAACAGGAGGGGCCAGCAGGAGAGGCAGAATCAGTAAATACAGAGAGGACCCGCGAGGCCGAAAGGACACCGGAACCAGAACCATGACTGAGCGAGCTGGTTGCACCAGACGAAACGGCCCCATCACACCCAGCATCCTTGGAACACGAGCCAGAACCTGAACCCCGGACCAGGGAACACCCCAGGCCGCAATGCACACGTAGGCTGCCGGCGTACCTTGAGGACTATGAATGCGACCTCCCAGGCAGGACTGGAACTTAGAGGGGAGGGGTGTTATGTACTGAGTTGAATAGGATCCAAACTGCAGCAGTCTGATTGGTCCTAGAACAATAGGATTCAGAATGCAGCAGTCTGATTGGTCCTAGAACAATGCAGCAGTATGATTGGTCAGCAGGAGCCACCCAATCCATCTCCAGATAGAAGTGAATCCACAACCTGATTGGCCTACAGGAGAATTCCGGAATTATCCAATCACGTGCAGCCCATTGTGTAAATAATGTATATAAAGCAGATACTTTGAGGGGACTTTCATTCCCTCCTCACCACTATGAGCTGAATAAAGAGCATGAAATCCACTCTCTTTTTTAAAAAAAAGATATTTATTAAAGTTTCCAAAAATTTATAGAAATCCACTCTCGACTCTGAGTATCTTTCAGCTGTGCTGGCTGGGGCTGTTGGGAACTGCAGCCCAAAACATAATCACCATCACCATTTATGTTAACCTTTCTATCCCATTGTTCCCCCCTCTGCCCCAAAGGACCCTAGGGTGAAAAATAACAAAACAACAAAATAATTTAAAATAAGATTTAAAAAACATTTTAAAAAGTGACATATTATCACAGCTAATAATTTAAAGATTGCTGGCAGCAGTCTGCAGTGTTTAAAGCTGCCTGTTGCCAAACTCTAGTGGCCTCCAGATGTGGACTACAACTCCCACCAGCACCAGCCAGCATTGTCAAACTTGCTGGAGCTGATAGGAGTCATAGTCCAAAACATCTGGAGGGCACCAGTTTGAAGAAAGCTGCTGAAGCATTTCCATACACAGGATCAGGCCTCCCTTAGAAGGAGGAGTAAAAAGGAACAGCAACTAAATGTCCTAGGGATGCAGATGGCGCTGTGGTCTAAACTACTTAGCCTAGGGCTTGCCAAACAGAAGGTCAGCGGTTTGCGACGGGGTGAGCTCCTGTTGCTCGGTCCTTGCTCCTGCCAACCTAGCAGTTTGAAAGAACGTCAAAGTGCAAGTAGATAAATAGGTACCACTCCAGTGGGAAGGTAAATGGCATTTCCATTCTCTGGTTCGCCAGAAGCAGCTTAGTCATGCTTGCCACATGACCAGGAAGCTGTACGCTGGCTCCCTTGGCCAGTAAAGCAAGATGAGCGCCGCCACCCCAGAGTCGTCTGCGACTAGACCTAACTGTCAGGGGTCCCTTTACCTTTACTAAATGTTCTAGACTGGCTCAGAGCTGGGGGATTGGTAGTGGGATGATGATGAGTGGTCAGAGGGAGCAGATTGGGAAGAGATGGTGTCCGAAGCTGAAGAGGTAACAGGGTTTATTGAGCAGGAAGAGTCTGCGGCTGAGAGAAGTCCAGAATCAGAGGCAGAAGCTGAATGAAACAGGAGAGTGGAATGAGGGAGCCCAAGAAGCAGAAGTGTGTCAGGCTGGTAAGGAAGCCAGCCTTTCTCCCTCTTCTGCAGCAACCAGCTCTCCTCCCTGCTGGTCTCCCAGAACCCAAAGAGGCATGAACAGGCAGAACAAAGACATGCAACACGAAGGAGCCTCAGAGTACTTGGGAAGGAACTGGGGGAGAGGAGACTTAGAGAGCTGTGGGAAGGTGGGGACCTTTAGTCTTAGCAACCAGGAACGCTGAGCAGTTTTGGGCCCCCTCAATATTTTGGGGGAGGGGGAGTGGCACAGTGTGTTCTGGAGTGTGATGCAGTGCTTGACCTCCCAACCATGGGATTCTCTGGGGTGTGCGTGGAACGGGGTGCTCCAGCTCGGGGCATGGTATGGCCCCTGGCCTTTTGCTGAGTGTGGGACGCTTTGCTGGAGGGCACTGCATGGTGCCCCATTTTCTACTGACCACAGGGTGCTCCAGTGCACAGCAAAAGGGGTCTTGGCACAGCACCCAACCTTGTAACCGCATAGTGCAACATTGGGCCCCCTCAGCCTTTGGCACAAGGTGGTGCCGCTGCTAGCAACTGCCACTTAGGGGCAAGTTCAATTGGGCAGTTGCTGTGTTCACTAGGCTTGGCCTCCTGAGCTGTCTGGAGTCTGAATGAAGAGTTATCTTCACTGAAGCCATGTGGGTTATTGCTGACCTGCTACTGACTCCCATTCCTGTCACTAAACCAGTTGATGTCTGTGGAGCAGGTGCGTGGCCCAAATAAGAAAGGCCCAGAGGATCTCTCTCTGGTCACATGCACACCATACATTCACAGTGCCCTAATACCACGTAAAACAGTCACGGCTTCCCCCAAAGAATTCTGGGAGCTGTAGGGGTGCTGTTACGAACGCCACTCCCTTTCTCATCTTGGAGTTGCAATTCCCTGTGAGAAGACACTCAGGAGAGATTGTTAAATCCTTCTGGGAAATGTTGTTTTGAGAGGGAAGTGGGGAAGTGTGGGGGGAGATCTTCTAAGAACTCTCAGCAGGTTTAACAAACTACACCTCCCAGGATTCTTGGGAGGGGAGGGGACTGTTATCACGCCGCTTCAGAATGTGTCACTAGAGTCTGCCTTTCTGCACTCTGATCGAACTACACTTCCCAGAAACCCTTGAGGGAAGCCGTTTAAAGTGGCATGACGCCTCTTTGAACGTATGGCGTGAATGCGGCCTCTTCTCTCTGAGGTAAAAGAAGAGCTTTTCCCCCAGTCAGGAGTGGGGGGCGGGGCCACCTTGACCGAAGGTGCCCTCCCATTGTTCCTAGGCTACGAGTGGCAAGGTCAGCAGCCAATAGCCGCGCCCGGCTGGGCCGCTTGCCGCGCGCAGGACCTTTGAGGAGGCGGAGCCTGACCGGCTGGGCGGGCGCTGCGGCTGAGGTAAAGCCCCAAGCGCGGGGCGAGCGCGTGGCGTACCGGTGGGGCACCATCGGGGCACCACTGGGCGCCTTTCCGGCCGCGCATGGAGACGATGCCTTGCCACAACCAGAGGGTAGGCTCGGCAGATGCGCCCCGGCAGCAGCAGCAGCAGCAGCAGGCTGGGGCGACAGACCGGGACCAGGACTGCTCTGAGCAGGCGGTAACGGGGAGCGGCGTCGGCAGCGGCGTCGTTTCCCGGCAGCTCCGCTTCTCCGAGCCCGGCCCTGGCGGCGATAGCCCCAGCCCGGATAGCAGCAGCTGCTGCAGCGGGAGCGGCGGCGGCGGCTGCAGCTGCTCTGGCAGCAACGGGGGCGGCCCTGACACGGCCCCGTCGCCGACCCTCGACCTGCCGGTCACCGCCGCCCCTCGGCTCAAGCTCCTGCCCATGAACGACCAGATCCGGGAGCTACAGACCATCATCCGGGACAGGTAAGGCGGGCACGCGTCGGCAGCTCCTATTCTTGGCGCCAGGCTGGCCTCCCTCTGAGCATGTGCAGAATGTCGCCTGTGCGCGCGTGGTTGGGGGCGGTGTGGTGGACATCTGTCAGCGCGAGAGCCCCTTTCGTTCCCTGACCAGACGGAGCTCCGTCGCCTCGTAGCCTCCTGACAAGAGCTGGGGCGTAGAGTCTGCCCAACCTGCCTTTTGTGGCACCCGCAGGGCCAGGATGTGCTCAAGTGGCTCTCACTTGTGTGTTTTTCGGGGGAAACCCTCCCTTTTCCCGCCCAAATGTACGCAGTAATGTATGTTATGACTATCTAGGTTTAGGGTCCAGGTCCAGGTCAGGATGTGTCGTCTACGGAGGCTGGAAACGCCACTGAATTTATTGCGGTCTAAGCTTTTGCGGTCCACCGCATTAGATGCAAGAGGAGTTAACGGTGCATGTTCATTTGTTGTTTGAAGTTCAGCCTTATGAGCAGGGGAGCCAGCTTTTCTGTACGTATATAAATGTATATTATGCAGTGATGTTCGGGGGGCGGTCTCTTCTCTCTTGCTGGATTTGGGCACAATGAATGTGATGGTGCTGAGCGAAGCTGTGGGCGAGCTCTCTTTAAATAAGAAATGATGCGTCCCGCGTTATGCTTTCAGGAAGGAGGGGGAGTAGATGGTGGTGAGGAATAAACAAAGCAGAAGGGACTTTTCCCAGGTTGGTTTTCCGTGTCTGAGATAGCTTAGGGCAAAGCTCAGCGAATAAAAGAGTGTTCCCATCATTAACTTACTAGGTGGGGCATTATAAAGCACTGTTCTCTTGACCTCAGCCCCACCCATCATCATGGGAATAGTCATAGTGGCCTACCTTACAGGGCCCTTTAAAAAAAAAGATGGTTGGAATAATGCATGTGGTGTGCTTTGAATGCCATAAGCTTGCAATTTACACAGGTTATTTTCTGGGGATTACCCCTAAAGCCAAAATTGCATATAGTCGATACAGTCACACCTCAGGATAAATATGCTTCAGGATAAGTATTTTTGGGTTGCGCTCCGTGGCGACCTGGAAGTGACGGAGTGTGTTACTGCCGGGTTTCGCCGCTCGCATATGCGCAGACGGTCAAAATGATGTCACGCACATGCATGAAAGCGGCGAAATGCAACACACGCAGACACGTATGTGCGTCTTACGTTCTGTTCAGGATGTGAACGGGGCTCCGGAACGGATCCTGTTCGCATCCCGAGGTACAACTGTACACACTGAGTTCAAGGGCAGGTGGGTTTGCCAAAGTCTTTCCCCCCAAAACACCCATTCCCTTTTCCACCCACTTTTTAAATACCGGTAATTTGCCAAGCATGTAAAGCTGAATACACTCAAACTAAATATGTGTAAGTTTTGGGCTTATTGTACTAGAAACATGCTACTTGCTACATAAATATGACCTATTAAATATGCTTGAATTGGCCATCCAAATTTGATGGCATGGGAGGAATCTTTTCAAAGGGTAGCTTACCAGGTAGCTGGCATGGTGTGTCCTTATGACTGAGGCTTGAGTGTATGGCAGGTGATAGTTTTGAGATCACATAACCTCAGGGTTGGGTAAATGCAAAGCAATATTTTCCCTTACTTTTTGGAGGACATTGCAAAAGAGCAAGTCATAGCACTGGAGTTTTGCCTATAATTCAAGCTGCAGCCACCTTCAATGAATGGGGAGCTGGATGTCCATGCCTGCTGCTTCACTGTTCTTTGCTTGCATGCCAGATCTGGTTTTGTCATGCAAACTGACATGACAGTTTGCTCTGCTTGTACTTGATTACTGACTGTGGTTGACTAGTATTAGAAACTTCTTCTTTTTTTCTGTTTTTTTGCTTTCTAGGAAGAAGCAAAGAGGCGCAGTGTTAATGTATCTTGTCTAGTTAGCCCAGTGTTTCCCAACCTTTTTTGGGCAAAGGCACACTTGTTTCATGAAAAAAATCTCGAGGCACACCACCATTAGAAAATGTTTAAAAAATTAACTCTGTGCCTATATTGACTATATATAAAGTAACTCTCTTTAATAGGAATCAAATAAACACAGAGAAAGTATTTTATAATTACTTTATTATGAAATAGTAAGTAAACAGAAATATGAAAAATTATAAAATACTTTATTCAGTGCGCAACCTGGGCCTGTTTGGCTGAACACAAAGCTGATATTCTGGCTGGAATCGAAGAAAGACACACACGTAGCTCTTCGTCAACAGCTCTCAGTCTCTCTCTGTATTTAGTTTTTATAGCAAATGAAGGAAGAGTAAGCAGGCTGGGGTGGGTTAAGTAAGGGCTGAAAGTGCCTAGATGAAGTGGGGGAAGCTAGAGAGGAGGTACATTCTGACGTTTGAGGATAGACTAGGTTCTTTATGTGAATGATAGGTGAGTTATTTGACAGATCGAACTGAGAGCAAGGTGTGGCTTGTGTAGCTGGGGTGGACAGGGAGAGACGGGCCTGCCTGCCTCTGCCTGCGCTGTGGTGTGTTTTGCCCCGACCGACGGACGGACCGACCTGCCAGCTGTCTCCGCAGTAGCAGCGCGGACTGGAGCTCCGTCATTCTCCCCGCCGGTGCCCGGGGAGGGGAGTGTGGGGCGGCCGCTGTGGAAGCGACGGCGTGCTCCTCCTCCTCCTCCTCCTCCTCTTGCCGGGCTAGAGCCAGCCGGCTAGCGCTCGCCTCTCCTTGCTCGAGCCGACCCCGCCGCCGGGGGCCTTCCCGTCCTCTCAGCGGCGCCGCCTTGCGTCCCTCGTCCGGGGCTTGGGAGGGGGCTGGGGGGAGGAAGGGGGCGAGGGGGAGCAGCCGCCGCCGCTCCTGAGGAGATTCTGAGGCGGTGGCAGGCGACGCGTGGCGGAAGAGGAGGGGTCCCGCCAGCCCCGCGTTTCTCTCTCCCTCTCACTCACGGAAACCTTCCCCTCAGCTTCTGCCGCTTTTTCTCTTCTTTCCCTCTTCCTTTTTTTTTTTTAAATGAAAAATCTTTCCTTTCTCTCTTTTCCAGCCCCCCCTCCCCTCTTCACGGAATTTCACTGCACTCAGGCGCCGCGGCGCGCAGGCGCACTGCTCGCTCCTCTTTCCGCGCAGGCGCCTTCTCTCGCTCTTTCGCCTCCTTTTCTTTCTCTCTCGATGGTCCGCCTACAAAGGAGCGAGGGAGGCGCCCGCCATGTTTGGATTTGCATCCAGCAGGAGATGCCGCCGCCGCCCCGCCTCTCGCCGCCCGACTCGCCCGCCTCCCTCCCACGGCACACCAGGCAACGTCTCGCGGCACACTAGTGTGCCGCGGAACACCGGTTGGGAAACACTGAGTTAGCCAACCTCTGGGATTAACATTAAGTGAAAATAGGCCTAGCATATACCATGAACTCTGCTAAACTCTTAGGGACAAGTTTTGGCATGCAGTAGGTGCCTTTCAGATCCTGCACTGCTGGCTGGTAGGTGAAAGATTTTAGTGAGTAGGATGGTGGTTGGGTCCCAATGCTAATAAGCACTATAGCTAATCACTTCGCTGGTCATTCATAGAGAAGGCACTGTTGCATCTTGCAGCTGCACACATTGCAGTTTCTTCAAAAAGTATCACATGATGATTTGGTTGGACAGTGGTCCCACATCTAGTTATCTCAGTAATGTGAGGTTTCTAGGCCAGCTTTGTCCTTACTAGGTGCTTCCAACATATAAAACCCAACACATTAATATTTATCCTATAAAAAAACATGAAACAGCATAATCAGGCAATAAATACTAATTTTATTAACTGTACATTAATGTTATCTAGTGCTGATATGCATGCGTTTTGAATCTATACTTGTTCATTCAGGAGTAAATTTCACTAAGTTCAGTGGGTCTAACTCTAATTCCAAGGTGAATTTAGGATTGCAGCCTTGGAGCAAGTCTGATCTTAAGAAAGTTTATTTAGGGAAATTTGTGTCATCCATGGGCTGCCTTTACGTGCTAAATGTGGAGTAAATCAGCTGAATCCAGAATTCAGATGAAAGCTGTATAAGTAGAAAAATTGCCTGAAATGTCCTTCTTGGATTGTACTGTATAGTTAAACTTCTCAAACATGCAGCCAGGCTAGGAAAATGACAGCCGACTATTGGTTATTTGAATGCATGTTTGGTATTGATATATTTAGTCTTTAGCGTACAGCTTAGGTGTGAGCATTTTGTTTCACTTTTTACAGTTGGTGAGTATGGACCCCTCTAGATGATGTAATTGTGATGATTTGTTCTTTTGATGCTATCAGTGTATGACCCCACAGGCAAAAAAAATATTTATTCCTGCAAAAGTTTTGTGGCAGTCATACCCTTTCATTTCCAACCAGTGCATAGCTGTAACGTCCTGCTGAAATCCTGTAACTTTTTATACCACAAATGCTATTTTTGTTGTACTATAGTTGCTCTGGAGAGCAATAATGCAATACTGGGGAATCATCACAGAACAACTATTAAAGAAGAAACTCAAGAACATGTTGCAAAGTACACCTGCAATCAGTGTTAGAAACTAAGATATATAAATTAGGTGCCAAATGGCTCCTTTAACCAAGGTTTCAGTCACCAAAACAGAATGTCTAGCTGCCAGTTTGGGGCAAGACAACTCTAAAGACTTATTTTTCAAGTGATGGACTGACTGTGATTGATTATCACTTAAATATTTGGCTAGTTCAAATGACAACCTTGTGCTAGGTTAAGAACTTTGAGAGAAGTCACTTTATCCAGGGACAGTCCACATATATATTGGCCTATTCCTACAAACAATCAAGATCCAATTATCCCCAGGCATGCACCTCCATCCTGGCACCCATGCATCTTCACTTGGTTGCAAGTGGCCAATAGCCAGGGGCAAAATGCACCTTGTGCATGGCTAATTTTGAACACACTGCCTGCAAAATAACACCAGCTTGGAGGGGCCCGGTGGTTGTGCACACAGAGAGTTAAGAGACAACAATGAAAAAGTTTTTTCTTTCAAACTGCATATGGATGCT